CGCCTTGTCTCTTTGTGGTTCGAGTTCCGACAAGCAAGGCATTGGCAGAAATTGACTCTGCACATGATTTGGCTTGACGGAAGGTTTGTTTATGCTAACTTATCAACCATTAATGGTACAACAACCTTCAATAACCTATATAAACAAACTAATGCTTACCTTGTGGGATAGCAACTATTTGTTACGTTGTGATCTAATTTACCAGCAATGAAATGATTATGGAGGAATAAAAGGGCCTCTCATGTTTGTATTATAAATTTGCGAGAACCTATTGGTTTTGCAGCGGCTGATGATTGAAGGTATGGCTGAAGAAGAACACACCTTGGAACTTTTGAAGAAGCTCATATTCGGCCAACTACATCAGCTGGATACTGTTGTTGCCATTCCAGCAAGGGAGAACAGATGTATCGTCCATTCAAAGCTGCGAGTACTTATGAAATCCGACTAGCTTATCACCGCATTTAAGAAGACCATGAAAATCAATAGTTTCCGGTTACCCCATACCTCAGGTCTCATTTGCCAATGTTGCCGATGCAGTCATCTGACTTTGACTACCATGCATGTATCAGCTCATACCTCTCTTACTCTGGAAATTTTTGCAACCTCTCATAAAGATGACATTCGCAAAATTTACAGATGTTATCGGATGCGTAAGACGTGTGATAGTTCCAGCAACAGTTGAAGGCCGTCTGAAGGAGTTCCTTCTAGTCATACAAGATACAAAGTATGGGTCCTGACCATTTCATTTTGTTTTTTGGTAGAATCCTGACCATTTCATTTAACCATATATGGATTCTTTGTGCTTGCAAGTTGTAGGGCCAATGGCATTGTTCGTTACCGTGGGTGGGATATCGATGATTACTTACAACATGCACTAGCAGCTGAGTCTCGCCTGCCTCTGGTCACTAGAATAACCTCGGTGATGCGAGTGCCTCCTGCAAGCACCAATAAGTACAAATACGAGTTTGTCTCCACACCTCCCAGTCGACTTGTCATTGAATCATACCCAAATGACTGCAAATACATCATGAACATGTACCATTTCATGAAGCAATATACTCCTCTTTTCGTACTACATTTTTTGTTAGTGCCTCATGACCACACTAACAAAACCTTTTTTATTTCTGCAATTTAGCTTTATGTCGGACCGCAAGCCAGTTAAATACATTGATGGTGCCACTGGAGGAAAGATTGGTCCCCTGCGTCCCTTGTTCCCTCCCAAGAGAACGCTTGCTGGAGTGAAGGACAAACTTGCTGAAATAAAGGACGATCGTGCTTCTCGACCGGGACATGGCAAGTACATGCAAATTTTTTTTTTGCCAAAACCAAAGCACAAAGATTTCGCATTTTTGCCCCATTGCTGACATTCTATAGTTAACTATTTTTTTACCGCTGCATGTTGGAAATCTCAAAGTGGGTGTACAGAAAAAGCATATGCAGCCCCACCACGGAATGCCAAGAGTGAGTTTTGATGATCCCACTTTAATTTGTCACATTAGTGCAGTTTAAACAGAACTAATACCTCAGCTTCTTGGTCGCAAGTCTGCATTATAAGATAGAGGCGAAGTGTCGACAAGGTTCAACCGAAGTTGATGTTATATTTGAACATGAAGCAGGCATATCTCTCATCCGTATGTCTCCCACATCATTTCGCAAGCTAAACAAAGAGGAGGCCATAGCTCGTATCAAGAGCCACGCAACAAAGCCATTCACAGCAGAACTCTATATTGCGTGGCCAGATCAGCAGGGACCGTGCTTAGGGACCATGCCACACATCAGGGGTTGCTACGCTCTGGAACCGGTCTGCCTTTGAAAAGTAATCTTCCACGGACATGGTGCACCTTTTTGAAAACCGACTTATCTACCACCGTAGGTACATGTACTTCTTGATCCATTATCCCATCGCCCAAAACTTCCCTCCATCCCAGACCCAGACAATATTAAACAATCCAGGCCTACGTGCTTTTGCAGTGTGCATGCTATTTTGTTATTTTGCGTTCCAACTTTGCCATGTTATGGCCATAAGTTGGAACCGGTTTTTTTTACTATGTATTATTTTTTGTGCAAGACAATTAGACAAGTATGGGTGTAATCGTTTTTAAGCATATTTTAGTTGATCTCAGTAACATATTTTCTGGCCACTTGCAGTAGCAATTAGTAGATCAGTCAATGGACAATGTAACTGCTATATTAACATCCAATGACCAACTGCCCGGGAGGCAAAGTTCGTTGTATTATGCATGAATTATTTATGTATTCGGTACAGGTAAAACCGATATTCCAGTGGAAGCCTCTGGTGAAGTAGGTTTGTCTACAAATTCTCTTGTTTTAAAAGCAATAGAAGAGATAGGGTTGGCGGATTTTCAAGAATTTGGACTAAAAACCCCTCTCTGTATTTAATTTTAGAGGTCATTGTGGTCCTTTTATATTAAAATTAAATAAGGTGTTGCCTTTTGTTTTTGCCTTCCCGTGCTGCCACCGTGGGTTGCTTTTCTGTAAAAAAAAAAACCAACGGGTTGATGGCCCTTCACTTCATTAATGGCTGGGGAAGGGCTGTTGTTTTGATCAGGCCCATCATTCTGTTATGTTTTTGTTCCATGAATGCAAAAAACAGTTACGTCCTCTAATCGGGGCAGCGGTTCGCTGTCCGACATAATGCAAGAATAGTGGCCATATTAGATAAACCTATCAACTATCTAGGAATGGCAATTATCTTCAAACTTTTCCCCCTCTGATATAATGGCAAACCATCAAGGTGGCCCTATGCTGGGATTGGTGGATCCTATATGGTCTGTGAGGATGTAAAGACACCTTCCTAATCCCTTATTCTTCCAATCGTACACTATGAACCTATACAGGAATCGACATAAAGACTACAATGATCAAGAGCGGCAGTGGATACTGTTTTGCGCCAAACATCAAAATCCTAGTGCTCTGTTCATCATGGAGATGTCAAAATTCTTTGACAATTCACAGTACGAGGAAGGAAGGGTCGATCTGGTCCTTTCCCATAGTCTTGGATGTCACTATGCAACATTTGCCTTGGCTATCATATGGTTCAAAGAGGGCGATCCGAGGGGTAGGCAGTACATGGACGGGCTAATGGCACAAGAATGGGGTGGGATGCACTTGATAGACGAATGTTAGGACGCATTCCTCGGATGTATAGATGACAGAAGTCTCCTGGAACTGTTCCCAGTCAACAACGTCTACGGCAACACGGACTCGCTTGCAGGCCATATCTCGGATAAAGAAGGGCCGTCTGGCTTCAATGCGCTACGTCGAATGACAAGTAAGGACTGCTTAATTGATGCAACCTTCCGATCGATTGGATCCCGCATGTGGTGGTGAGGCAATTCTCTTATACAATGGCGTTAAGCAGAACTAATTAGGTGTGTTATATTTTCGGTCTGAGTCCCGTGTTCGTCTTGTTTGAATAGTTGTAAGTAAGAATGATGGTGTAGTTTGTAATGTAATTGTAGCGGATGCTTAAATAGTGGGAAGCATTCACAATAACTATAAATATGGTATTTGTTCTTTGCAGATATGCTAAGTGTATGTACTTTGTTAATTTCAATATGCGAATATTGTATTTGTTCTTTAGTAATATGCTAAAATTTCATTGTTATTCTTAACACATCAATATTGAATGTGTTCTTCGCTAATATGGTAACTGTATGTTGTTAATTTCAATATGTGAATATTGAACTTGTTCTCCATTAATATGCTAAAAGTTCTTTATTAATGTTAAAACATGAATATTGAATGTGTCATTTGCTAATATGGTCACTGTTCTCTGCAAATACGGACTGAAAATATAGTAGTGGCCCTAGTAGTGCAAGACCATCATGTAAACAACATTGTCAACAAAGACCTCACGTATCTGATACTCCAAAGTTTTCACGTGTTCTTCATGCAAACATGTGAAAATGCTTGGTGTAAAGATATCCGACGCCTTTCTTGCAAGCAGACTGTGGTATAGGACTAAGAATCTTCAGCCATTTATGCCTCTGTAATCTTGCTCAACCTCCTATTCCCTTCTCAACATCAACTTGTTGCAGGTTAAGAGACAAATAGATCAACTAGTATTCACTGAAGAAGGTTGTTGGGTGTAAAGCCTTTATAAGTATGTACATGTTGAACCGAGTGAAAAAGACATAAAAGTTATTGTCCCCAAGAAGGAATGACTTCACAGAGGCATTGCACACCTCGCTGGCCTGCATAGTTGTCATCCCAGCCGTGAACTTCCTTTTCAACCATGTCGAACACCACTTCTCGCGAAGTTTTAAAAATCGACTCAGCCAATGGGTCCACTTTCAACGCCCACACCGAGGAAGCATTCCTCGATCATAGCAGCCCATGCTATGTCGAACTCTTATGTTGTATCGACATGCTTTAACAGGTACATCAAGTGATCCTTAAATTCCTTGGTGCGGGAAATTGAGCCAAGATGTTCCTCAGTATTTGATCTCAAGTGCCAGGTGCACAACGCATGATATGCAGAAGAGAACTTGGACTTTATGGCAGCAGCGATGGCAACATCTTGATCATTGAACAATCATTCAAAGGAGGGAATCATCTCATCGTACATCTGCCATGCTTCGAAAATCATCACTTGTCGATGGTGATTGAACTCGACAAAGAGAGCTGACATAACAGGTGAAAGATAACAAAGCAAGGTTGCTTGCTTCTTTTAGATTAAGATAAAAAACACATTAGCAAATGCATTTCCAACAGGCGCCATCAGATTAAAAATAACTACGTTAAAGTGCATACCTAAGGGACGGTATTCGTTGTTTGTTCCGAAGGTCGTAGCTAATGAGACAGAATCACCAAATAGTTCGTAATCCAACTGCATCGTTCGGTCTGCCCAGAAAATGTTCGCAATCTGCTCGCATGAATCAACCTCCACATTTTAGAAGAACGATGGGTCCTTCTTTTGTTCTTTCCGGAGTATTCGTCGAGAAAGGTCACTTCTCCTACAAAGGTGGTTCTTCTAATCATCTCTTGTGAAACCAACTTTTGTGGGCCCTCCACCAGTTTCGGACCATAACCTCGTATGAGGATTTGAGCTTCACTCCAGCATCTGCATAGTCTTGGATCACATTTGCTTGAGAAGCAGAAATCTTTCGGTTGGTGATCAATAGGTGCCTGTGATCCTTGGCATGGAGATCACGGTTGTGGTGGCCATCAAATTCACAAATATAGAATACATTGAGGTCATAATCCCAACTGAATTTCACATGTGCTTCACATCCCAATCTTAGTTCGTTGCGCCGCCTCTCCGGAATGGGAATTGCCTCCATTTGGGACTCATAGAGTCTTTCAGGCCTCTTGGGATTGTTTGGGCTACGTCTGCTAAAGCCTTGCTCGTTGCAGCAGAAGTGAAGATGGTGGTAGAACTTGTGGGATTCACCATTCGCGTCACTCGAGCGCTTCCACTTTCGTTTTTTCAATTCGGGCAGAAAATCCCTTGAAGTGAACATAACTCCTGTACAACCAATGACACTTCTCAGGAGTACGAGGCTTGATACACTGCGTTGATCATCAATATCTACCAGTGGTATCCAAGTCTCTGCAATGAAATGATTGTCTCATCAGCAAGGTAAATACATTCCCCTTAAGCGTAAATAATATTCACTAAGGCTGGAAACGGTTTTTCAATAAAAAGCAAACAACATTCATTATTACAACACAAACCCAACAGAACATTCCCACCTTATGTACTCAATAAATGCAGAGGAATCTTCTTTCCTCATAAATGTTTCAATAAATTTGCAATCATATAAAACCCAGCAGTTGCCTAGGTTGAGAAAACGTACCCAGCTCCTTCTGTTAATCCATATCTTTATCCAAGTCCCCATTGTCAAATTCTGTTATCCAAACGACGCAGGTGAGTAAATTCATTATCAAGGAAAAAACAGAAACACACATGCATCATCTTTCTCACCAGATCGTCCAAAAAAGGCTCCTCGGCAGGTCGAGGCGGCTCATTAAGATCTACTCCGGTGAAACTCATTATCTTACCCTACAAGTAGAAGACGATGACACTTTCCGCTGAAACGATACGGCCTCTCCTTATCTCTCCCCCTTTTCCCCTTCTTCTCCTTCCTTCTTCTCCTTCGACGCCTCTCCTTATCTCCACCCTTGTTTCTCCGCTACTCTATGCTTGAAGAAAACCTTAAACTCCCTGCTCGAAGAAAATCCTAAATTAGGATTCAGACATTACAACTCGAATGGGGCAGGGGATTCTAGTGAGGGAAAAGGATTGGACCAGGGATTCGAAAATTAAAATTTGAATGAGGTAGTGGAATTTGGAAAAGAGGAAGCGGGAGCTAAATGATTTGGCGGGCGACTCTATTTTGGAAACGGAAGAGAGGCTCTTGTTTTACGAAAACAAAACAGAGGGTCCTGTTCTATCGATTTGCCTCGAAGATGAAAACGAAGCAGGGCAATGGCCACCCAAGCATTCGGGTAGGAGAGAGGTTTGTGTTTTACGAAAGCAGACAGGGCTGACGACGACTGGCCCCCACATTCCACTAGCAAACCCAAGAATCCATCTCACCCGTTGCTGGAGCATGGCTTTCATCATGGCCGTTTGGAGGAGGTCCTCCAACAATAGGTGGGAGGACCTTATCTATTATGGAATCATGGTCATCAACTGGTCAAAATAATCAGACAAGAGCCGCATGGACATATCCTACGAGTCATTTAGACATCATCACATCATGTCCTCCTCTTTATATCACAAAGACATCTAGGACTTTATGTCCCATTGGTTTGCCGGCTCAAGATACCGTGCATAACCCATGGTTATGCACCTATCAGTAACTAAATCTGGACCCTTCATTCAGAAAATTCAGATCTAAGGATGGAGAATTAAAGGTCATTTGTATTTTTTTTTATTTTTTTAATCGGCTCATATCTTCTTCGTTTTAACTCGGATTTCAATTTTTTTTTATTTTGCACAGATGGAACGAGTTTGTTGTGCTCTACAAAACGAGATCCATTTTCAATATTTTTTTAGAAAAAAAATATTTCCTGCCTCTCGGTACCAACTGCATACCATATGGTATCTTATTCGTTTTTAATTCGTTTTTGAAAATTTTTGCACAGAAGGAACGAGTTCATCGTGATCTATTGAATCTACAAATTTCTAGGCGAACAAAATACAGGACCAAAAATATCACACAATACCACTCTGGTACGGGGTGGTATCTTGTGGTACACAATGTTAAAAGTCGTAAATGACAGTTAATATACTTCTACTATCATGTATTCAACCATCATACAGTCTTGGTTTGTTCATACCACCATGATACGCTTTTCAAACCGTAGTTATGCTCTTATTTGAATACCAGTCAATACCATATGGTATAGACTTGTAAAAAATGACTCAATTTTTTTTGTTCCAAAAATATATCAAAGTGGATATCATTTTGAAGAGCACAATTAATCTGATCTAACTATGCAAAAAAAAAAACATTAAATTTCGACTTAAAACGAGTGGGAAATCGTCCATTAAAGAATAATGGGGGAAAATTAAAAACTTTTCAAGAGAGAGAAGGGGCGCTGATGTAGCGGATAATGGTTGGATTATACATGGTTATTGACCAAAAGGTTATTGACCGGATCTACTCTGATTTGCCTAAAACATGGTTGAAAGTTTAAGAACACAAATAAGAATTAATATTGTTATATAACAAAATGATAATTCCATACATTTTTTCCTCCAACTAAAAAAGGAGAAAATATTGAAAAGCAAAGGAGTTTCTACTTGAAGTAGAGCTCAAGTAGCTTCTTCAATGTCTCAAACACACTAGTAAATGGATTAAACTCAACAGAAGAATTCAACCCTAGTTCAGGAAACTGATTTGTTAGAGCCTGCTGCATCCCTGGCATCCCCATCATTGCCGACAGCTCCCCCATTGATTTCACTTCACAGTCCTGCGGGGTGTCCTTTATTTTGCTTGGATCATACCCGAATTCCCCCAGATACGTCTTGTACTTCTCGATGAACGCCGGCCCAGGGTCAGGCGTCCTCGAGTATATCTTGTGGATAGATCAGAACCCAACAACAACACAATCAGATTGGTCTACAATATGAGCTTCATTAGCCAAAGTTGGTTGTTTGGAGACTGGTTTTTTTTACCTGAATAAAGCTCTTGTCTTTGGCACCAGAAACAAGAGCAAAGTTGTCATAATCAGTAGCGATGACATCATAAGGCTCCTTGGGGATGAATGGCAGTGTTGGGAAACGAAGGTAGCATTTCTCTCTGATCATCTCTCGCTTCTCCAAATCTGTCTCGTTCTTCTCCAAATCTTCCTCGGGGATGCACTGCACTCTCCCTCTTATCCCCGTAATGTACCCATCGGGGCCTCCATGGACACAGAATGTATCCACTTGGATGGCTGGTGCCTCCATATCAAACGTGTAAACCCCCTGTTGTTCATATATAGTTATGAGTTGGAAAAGAAAAGACCACAACTTGAAAATGGAACTATGCAGTGGAAGTTTTACCTGAGTGCAGTGGCAATCTTCCTGGCCTTGTCCAGCAAATCCACGCTTGAGGGAAGCTACCTCAAACCACCTCCCCGAATACCTAACGGGGTCGAAGTTTTTGGCACTCATACCCCTCATCTTCATCAGCATCCCATCTCCAGAAGAGGTCTCCTCAATTGGGAGAGTGATCTTGTCTCCTGCGGCAAGAGCCTGTAATTTTGCAGCTCAGTTTAATGATAACAAATGGTGAGGCATCTGTATGGTTCAAACTCACAATTAGATTAACTGTGACACTTTCCATGATCAACCCAGTAGTGTAAATTGCTAAACTCAAGTCTTAAGGGGGACAAGATTCACCTCATTAGGTTGTTGGGAGAGAAGCAATGAAGAAGCTGCAAGGCCAGATAACAGATGCCGTAAGATCACAGCCTTGCTTGTGCTCGGTTGGTTCTCGGCGGAGCATCTGAAACCCATGTTGCCGGTAGGTAATCCTACCCTGGGAATCAAAAGAAGAAAGCTATAAACGGATTTGAAGTGAGAGACTGATATCAAAGAACTAGGTATGATTCAGAGAGTTAGTAACTTACCTGGGGAATGGGAAGAAGGAAGGAGGAGTAGCAGAAGAAGAGCTGCTGCTGCTGTTGATGGAGCATTGCCGAACAAGAAGTGAGGAAGATGATATTTGATGAATAAGGAATACCATTTGGAAGCTCTCTTTCCTTTCCTGCAGCTTTTTTTGTTCCCCTTGTTCTGTTCTTTCTGCGTCTCCCTCAGACAAGAGAAAGTATGGATGGTCGACAGTAATTCGACCCCACACCATGTCGCCACTCGCTAATAATGTTTCATGAATCATCTCTTACAGTCTCGCATCATTGACCCCACCCACCTAAACCAACCAACCCAAACCGATCCTTCTTCAAATATGCATTACTTATTTACTTTACAGCCAAACGAGATCGCTTTACAGGTTCACCCAACGACCAATTGCTTCTTGATTTTGACTTGCCGCCAATTGTTGTGCTTTCTTCAGTTTCTGACTCCATCCTTTATTGGAATTCACAGCTAAATTTTCTCTCAATTTCATTTCTTCTAATAATGGCAACAAAATCGCGGGAAACCAATCCCATTGATATGTTTGTTTGGAGAGGATGAAACATTTACATCCTCGCCAGTGATGGGTCATTAGCTAGCTCTAAACTGACAGTATCAAAACATTTTGCTTCCCTACATCACAATCCTCTCTATACACATGAACTATAAGTTAGTTCAAGGTGTTAGGATCAAAAGAGCATTGAGGTTTGCACCAGCAGTAAGCAAATCGACAAAACGAATCCTCCATGCCATCTGCTTCCTTTTCACTACCCCTTGAAAGCCCTGGGGTGGTCACATTCGAAGTTGAAGTTGAAGGCCTTTTAACAGCTAAGGATGCATCAGCAGCAGCTGCTGGAGGTGCAGCAGGCCTTTACACTGAAACAAATGTCACTTGCCTTGAACTACTGGAATTTGGTATGGATGTTGTTGCATCTGGGGAAGCGCTTGAGGTTGCATTCGGATTAATTCCTTTTCCAGGACTCGCTCCGACTGGTAAATCATCTCCCATCTCGATGCTATTACCTTGCTTCTGATGTTCAATCTCTTTCGGAGTTGGAGATCCAGCTGACAAGTCCTCATCTTTCTTCATTAGAGAAGAGCCTTCTTTGTCGGGATGATCTACTTCCATCTTTTCAATGTCACCGCCATCATCAGTAATCTCTGAAATGACAGATCCATAATTAAATCGTTCAAATTGTAAACAAAACAAGGCGGCAGTTTTACACACGAAGATAGAGGAGCTTACCTCTAAGAAATGCCTGAATGCTTCGATACCGTATAGCCGTTCTTCCATTGTTGGGATCTTTTATGGTCTCATAATTTTCTTTTACGTCAGTTTTCTGTACTCTTTCGAGCAACACAAATTTATCTCCTTCCCAAACACACTCTAGGGTGATAAATTCCTTGTTCGTTGGATAGTACTCTCGAAATACCTGGAGAAGAGGAGGTTTCAGTGAAAAGGATAGTGATTCCATTGTTATTGTATCATGAAGGTACGGAAAACACAGGTGGGACTGCCAACCTCTATTCCTTTCTTATTTATTTTCACAGACTGCTTATTCTGGGCGAGCGAAGACACGGTGTTGGACAATGAAGCAACATTAAGTAATATCTGTAGAAGGAAACAAAATGAGTGCAGACTGTGCTATACTTGTTTTACAGTCAACAAGAAATGTGCTATTGATGGAAAAGATTTTAACTGCATTTGTCACTTACGGAGTTGCAGATTCTTATTCTACTGCTTGACATGGAATAAGTAAGAACTTACCTGCCGAACCAAAACTCTAAGTAGTGCAAGCAGTGCCAAAACTGCCATGGAAAATTCCATGAAGAAAGAGCGTGCAAGCAAAATAGATACCTCACTGCTAAGTTGTCAAGGATACCGATTGAAAAGAAGATATCATTCAATCAACAACTGGCAATAGATCCAGATAATCAGACCTGAGTAAAGAAATGACAAGTACAGTGACATGGATACAAGCATGATAAATGCAATTAGAGTTGGGTGCCACAAAGAGGTTGAAGTGAACCAGTAAAACAAGAGCGGTTAATTTAATTATATCCTAATAACTAGACAAACTGGATACGTAGCTGCCTTCAAAATTAGCTCAACCATCTGCAAAACCACAATACTGACTAATTAGTTTCAGGACAAACCCCATGACAACAAAAGATGTGCTGCATTCAGGGAACTGGAATATGGTTCCTGTACAAGAAGGCAAGACATCACCTGTGACAGTAAGCATGCAGCTCCCAGAAGTCTCTCCAAAAAATTTGGTACTCCAGAGACACTTTGCCTCCACTTCAAGCTGCGAGACATGGTTCAGTTACTGATTACGTAAAACAACTGAGAATTCCAAGTCTTTCCACTGTCATTTAATCACACAATCTCTTTTGAAGAGAGAAGGATGCCAAATTGATAAGGGTATTTAACAGATGGTCAGACAATTTTCAAAATCCTACAAGAATAGCATAACTAATGATCAGCTCTTCAGATTCCAAGCATGGATAATAATGATGATCTCCAAACCACACGAGAGAAAGAAAACGAGCACTTTCCACTAATGTAGATGAAAAGTTCCATAACTGATAGTTTCTCTTTGAATAATCTTCCCAGGAAAAGAAGAGAACTCCAATCACAAGGCTGCCAACTGACAAAAATCTAGATGCAATTATAACCATCTTCATTTCCAAATCATCATCCGAAAAGCGGGAATCCATCAATTAAAGATAAGGGGTCCCTAAAACAATGTGGATGGGTTATGAAGCAAGAAGCCACAAGCCTTAAGTCCCTTCTCACCTAACATCACCGCCAAGTAAACAACACGAAATCAACAACCTCGATAAGGATACAAAACAACACCTGGTTATGAAAAGTTTCAGAGCCGAGTCGCATGTGTTGCCACTCAGCTTTCTTTTGCTCACGAATCGAAACACGGAATCGAAAGATTGACAGCCGAAAGAGAGCCTATTACCTTTAGGAGGTACTGGAAATAGGAGCATCCGCGGTGCTGGTTCTTGTTCTTATAAACAATTCTCTCAAAAATCCCGCATGCCGCCTGAAGCTGCTCCAACAAAGTCTTCAATATATCTTCCAGACCGCTTTCAACTTCACTACCCATTCCTTATTTTTTCACCCTTCAACTTGCTGTTGTAGAACTAGACAATGAAGCTCCTTACTAGACAGTTAACGGCTTGGAGGGTTTTAAGGGTTTTGCTCAAACCGAGACTCCGGCGCAGTGCACCGCGACGCCGGCGCCAAAATCCAAACTAAATGCTGATGCCTGATTGATCGGTTAAGATGGTTGGACAGGCCACCTTGGTTTGCCTTGGACAGGCTTTTTGCTGATGATCTTCTGCGCTTTTAAGCCCTTTGTTTTGATTTAATAGAGTAGATATAGGCTATTATAGCCAACTATTTTCTGCTAGGCCCGGAGGTTCGGTTATCGGTTGCTAGTTAACCGGCCGGTTAAACCGACAACCGGCGGTTACTGGTTAACCAACTAACCGAAAATTATGTGGTCGTGCAGTGTTCGGTAGGGAAGTTGGATGTGGCGGTTAACCGGCTAACCGAGGACGATAACCGTCGGTTAACCGACTAACCGACGCATCTAACCCACCTCATTTTTGTAAAACGAGGCCGCAAGAGTCAAAACCTAACCCTAAATCCAGTCACCCGCCCACCTCATCCCCTTCCCTTCTCTTCTCTGCATCGCGACACGAAAAGAAGTCTCTGCCGCCGCCCGCCTGCCTTGACTCCCTTCTCCCCTGCCTGAACCGTTCAGGCTGAACGGCGAACGCCAAGGCGAATCTCCCCGACCCGCGCCCGGCGCCTGCTGCTCCGCCATCTCCCTCCACGACCCGCGCCCAGCCACTGCTGCTCCGCCATCTCCTCCCCAAGACCCCGACCAGTCCACGAGCAGCAGCAACCGTCATTCCTCCGCCGTCGTTCCAGAGCCGCCAGCCATAGTCACAACTCGCCGCAGCCACAGTCCTCCGCCGCCGTTCCTCCGTCGCCAACCATAATCCCCCGCCGCTGTTCGTCCGTTGAGCCAGCTGTCTTCTGGAGTAGAGGTGGGGGGGGGGGGGGGGGGAGAATTTTGGGATGAGGAGAGGAGAGAAGATGGCGGAGGAATAGGAGGATGAGGTTGCTTATGGAGTTGTCTGGTGGAGGTGATGCATGTTGGACCTCCATTCTCATTTTCCTCTGAAGCTATTTATGGTTTTGATTTTCCCGGCCTTTTGTTTTCTTTTGCAGTTCCAAGAAGAGCAGAAAGAAAGAAAAGCGATGGATAAGGATAACAATCAGGAGACACGACCTCGAATCAAAACTTGCGGTTAACTCAGTTAACCGAGCAACTAACTGGTAGCCGACCGGTCGGTTATTGGATAATCGATGGGTTCCGTCGGGCGATTGGCGGTAGGCGTGTTTGGCGTTGCGGTTAACCGGTAACGGACATTTCGGTTATCGGTTATAACCGAGATAACCGAAAATCCAGCCCTATTTGCTGCTTTGTCCCAACCCTAAAGTTGTCACAAGTTTCATTGAGCTAATTCATGTATTTGTGTAATTAAGTCGTTTCTTGGCTTATATTGAACTAGAATACATGCATTAATTTTTTGGAGGCCCACCACAATCACTCATAATTGAGAGATTATCAATCTCTACTTTTTTGTTGAGATTCTTCACAATCACTCAAAATTGACTTTTATGACTTTACTACAAAAACACAATCTAAACCTCCAAACAATATATTTGCCTAATACATCAATTGATTTTGTTGATGCGAAGTTTCGAGGAGCCTGCTTCAATGTGTTTGAGGTCCGGTGAGCGCCGACTTCGTGACCAACGTCCGCCACCGGCCTCCAAGATGGACTCCTGCAAAAGAGGTACCCGCCGGCGGTGGTCGGCGGGGACCTGCTCCGAAGCTCAAGTCAGTATTGAAAGGAGAGTAACCGAAAGCGGCGTATTGAGCCGGTTCTAGAGAGAGATTTAGAAGTTCAAGCTGGAAAATGAACGACCAAAAAAGCATAAATGAGGGTCCTATTTATAGGTGCCTCCTGCTCCTAACGTGGGTGGCGTATAAAAAATAAAATAATAATACATATATCTCGCAACCAACCCTAGGTGTAGTGGATGGTTGGCTACAAGCAAAAACATATTACATATAAAATTAGAAAAAGAAACCCACTTACCTCATATATTTCTACTGTACACGTGTAAGTGGTGGGAGGTGGGTAAATATTGGTGGAGACTTGGAAAGGTTAATAGGTAGGTGGAGAAGTAGAAAACTACTCTTCATCCCACGTGTATTGATGTGGGGAAGTGAATATTTGGTGGGTTGGTGGAATAAAATGAACCAATACATCAATCAACCAATTAGTTGTCTTAGAAGAGGAACACATTTTGCCTTGTTCATCTCTTCAAGGTGGACTGAGTGGGCAATTGTGATTGGTTGCTTGAGTGGGATACTTTAGCCAAATGGCGGATTAATGACACAAATATTGTTTTTTTTTTAATTTACCACTAATATGGCCAATTAAAAAGTATTGACACAGATATTGTGTTTTGGAGAAAAGAATCGGCGAGGCCACCTGAGACTCAGGCGCTGCCGCTTTAGCTTGTTTTTTGGACCGTTTTATTTAGTTGACAGCGGCGGCGCTTAAGACTCAGGCGGCACCGCCTGAGACCTAGGCGAGTAGGTGGGAAATCATCCCAGGAGGTGGCGCCCGAGACTGAGGTGGCATCGCTGGCTTATTGCTGGCCACCCACCTTATAAAACCCAGACAATTTCGTTTCAGATTCACACCACAAAAAAAAATCGTCAAAAATAGAGGAGAGAGCTCTGGTTGCTGCTGCAAAAATGGCTAATAGGTAAGAGACACATTTATTTTTGTAATTATATTATTCAAATGTTATTATGATTGTGTTTAGTTTTAATTAGTGAGTTTTTTTTTGTAGTGATTTTAGAAAATTTGTACTAGTTGTTCGGTGAAAATCGGAGAAAGTAGAGGATAATTTGGGCATCAAATTCGTTGGTGGTAGTAGTTTTCAGTTGACGGTTCCATCCAGAGTCACATATCACAAACTTTGTGAGAATCTAATTCCGAGAATACGGCGCAGAGACGAAGCAGTAAAAGATAGTGATGTGATCACAGGTTTCACTTACCGTCTTCCAGAATGGCAGAATGGTGTTTTATTTCATTATGCGATACCTATTGTGGATGATGATAGCTTGAATGTGCTTTGGAATTTTATGGCACAAAATCCTTATTGTTTGGGTGTTGAGATACATGTTGAGCTCAGTGAGGATCAGGGTGGAGAGAAAGAAGATGATACATGGAGCGTGCCATCCGATCATGACTATGATGACGGTGATGACGGAGAGGGGGAAGATGAGGAGGAGGAGGAGGAAGGAGAGCAGCTTAATTATCCTCCATATTTTTACTTGCAGGGTAATGAAGAGGACGAAGAATTATCACTTGCTGATTCATATGGCGTAATTCCAATGCCTATTGTTGATAGTTTTGAAGGAGAATTCTACAAGGGGCAGATATTTCACTCGAAACAAGCTGCACATATGGCAATTAAACACCACGCACTACAACGCAACTTTCAATATGGTGTGGTGGAGTTGTCACCTTCAATCTGGAAGGTCAGATGCTTGAGGCACAAGGATGACAATTGTCCTTGGATGGTGCGGTTTGGATGTCGAGATGTTGGGGGCGAATGGACTGTGAGAAAGGCTGAGTTGGTGCATTCTTGTAGCAGTACGACTCAACCGACGAATCATCGCCATCTTGATGTCGACATGATATCTGAGGCCGTCAAACATTTGGTACGTGCCCAACCAAATATGAATGTTCTAACTGTTCAGGCCGAGTTGAAAGATAAGTTTAATATGCAAGTTACTTACAAGAAGGCTTGGTATGGGAAACAAAGAGCATTGGAGAAGTTGCATGGAAATTGGGAAGAATCCTACGAATTTTTGCAAACATTATTGCGGGTGGTCAAGAGAAAAATGCCAATATCGGTGATTGATTGGGTAAGAGTTCCTTCGACTCAACCAGGTCATTCAATATTTCAGCGAGTATTCTGGGCTTATGGACCTTGTATAGATGGATTCAAGAATTGTCCAGGCGTCATGGTTGTTGATGGAACATTTCTTACTGGGAAGTATAAAGGAGTGCTACTCATGGCGAGCTCATTTGATGGTCGGAAGAAGATTTTTCCAATTGCATTTGCCATAGTGGAGAGCGAGAATACTGAGAGTTGGCCATGGTTCATGAGGAACGTTCAGGGTTTGACTGATCGAAATGATGTATGCATCATCTCAGATAGACATGCAGGACTCTATGAAGCCATGAATAACATCGGAAGAGGTTGGGAGTGGAGGTGGTGCATGGGATACTATGCAAGCAATTTTCAAAGGAAGACTAAAAGCAAAATTATGTATAATCAACTATTTCGAGTCGGTAAGCTTTCTTCATTTAATTTTGTTATTTGTTTTCATGTAATTTTGTCATGAATTTATCTAACCCGTGTTGTGGTTTATTTTGTTAGCCGGAGAAAAACGGTTGGAGAAGTTTGATCGTCAAGTTGAGCAATTTAAGAAGGTGGCCGCTGATAGAAATATTTCATGTGATAACTGGGTGGATCAACATCAGATTCGTTGGAGTTTAGCACATGATAACTACAATGGTGGGGGTTGTTGGTCTATCCTGACATCCAACATGGCAGAAAGCGTCAATGGTATTTTCAAAGGTATTCGTGCACTTCCTATAGCTTCTCTTGTGCAGCATACCTATTGGCGATTGGTGGAGAAATTCTGTAAGTATAGGTTGGAGACAGGAGCAGAAATTAGAAGTGGCGGTTCACAGTACTCCACCAAGTGCGAAGAGCTGATGAAGTACAGGTCACAAAAGGCAATTGGACATTCTGTGACAGCTCTTGATCGAAGTCAAGGCATCTATGTAGTTCAGACTCCTCCCAACAATTTCAACATGACGGGGTCAAACACACTCACAGTTCACTTTGACGATCAAAACCGGGCAAGATTTTGCACTTGTGGTAAATTTCAAGGAAATAAAATTCCTTGCTCTCATTCCATTGCAGCTTGCAACCGAATGGGGGCTAATGCGTATAGGTTTGTCAACGATGTCTACAAGCTGGAAACAGTGATGGCTTGTTATGGGACAAGTTTCGCATCTCTTGGTGAACCTAAGGGTTGGAAGAAGCATAATGGTCTTATTCTCCATCCTAATGTGCACATGATTAGGAAGCCGGGGAGGCCACGAGTTACAAGGATTCACAACGAGATGGACTGGCCAAGGGAGGGTGCATCACACCAAGTGTGTAGCAACTGTAACCAAGCGGGACATAATGCATCAACCTGCGGTGGCCAAGCTAGTGGGAGTGGGAGCAACCGAGGAGGGAGTGGTGGCCAACGAAGTGCGAGAGGTGGTAGAAGAGGAAGTAGAGGTAATAGACGTGGCTGAGAGGTGGTAGAAGTTGTTGTATTTCTTTTGATTTACCATGTAAAAGTTGTTTGTTTGAGATGTTGTTGTTATGTTTTTGATCGTTAATAATAATAATAATCCAAAAATAATAGTCTAAATGAAGTACATAATAATAACAATCCAAAAATAATAGTCTAAAGGAAGTACATAATAATAACAATCCAAAAATAATAGTCTAAAGGAAGTACATAATAATAACAATCCAAAAATAAGGAAGTACATAATAATAATAGTCTCACTGACGACCACCACGACGACCACCATGCTCCACCGCTAGATGGCCGCCAGTACCACACCTCGCAGGCACCCTGTTACGCAGAGGTCTACCATCATACTCCTGGGGCTCATCTTCCTCAACACCACCATCCTGATCCTGTGTACCGAACATATCATCCTGCTGAGACTGAAGATGCTCCTCAGGCTGACCGCCACCATGCTGCTGAGACTGAACATGCTGCTCATAATTCCACATCGGATCCCGAAACGCCTCGTGCTCATCTAGGTTTCCCCATAGGTCGGGAGACGAGGCTGCTCTAGTATCACCACCTGAGGCCATGTTTCCCATCGTAGCATGTTGCGGTGTATGGAAGCTATCCTCTGGCTGATAGAAGCTCGAAGACGGATCTGACTGAAAATGCTGCCGTCGCGGCGGCTGAAAGCTCGAGGAAGGATCTGACTGAAACTGCGACCGAAGCGGATTAAACTGGAAGCTCCTCGATGTAGGCCGGATGGGCTGTGCTCGCTGTCGATCTAAAACCCGAAATGGGTTAGGTGCATCACGATGCTCACGTCGCTGTCTACGTGGCCTATGCTCCTGTCTGAACTGTGGCTCTGGGACAACCCAGCCCGGTGTCGGATCTGTACGCTCTGGCCAGGCAGTCATGACGGGCTCCTCATAATGGGGTTGTACAGGTA